ATGTGAGTTTCCTCTTCCAGTTTCCTTGAGTTTTCTGTGATAAATGATGAAGACAAACACAAACACACAGGATTTGTCCAAACACAGACCAATCAATCAATCAACAGCTTTATTAATCCCAAAGGGCAGTTCAGTTTGCACATCTCTGCTCGAAAATAAAATCAAATCAAAACCAAATCAAATCCATAAAACACACGACGCACAGTTAAACCTCAGAACATCAGGGACACAACAGCAAATTTACTTTCCATTTCAAAACTTTACGGCAGAAGGAATAAAAGATTTATAGTCGCTGTTGGTGTTTTGCTGTGGGCGACACGGCGCCTCCCAGAGGACGTTTACACAAACTGTGAGTGCAGGACACGGTCAGGCTCAGGTTGGACTTAACACACTGGATTTTCAGGACAAAAGTCGCTTCTTTAAGACGTGCAAAAAGAGGCAGATTGTGAGTGGATGTGGGCTCGTGCTGTGGTGCGCGCGGGGAGGAAATGTCTGACGGAGCGACGCCCGGAGTCTGGACAAACTGACACAGAAGGCGGCGTCCTGTGTGATGAAGGACTGTGTGGAGTCTGTGATGGAGACGAGGACGTTGGCCAAGCTGCTCTCTGTCCTGGACAACAGCAGCATGAAGCTCAGTCCACAGGAAATCAGACGTTTTCAAGGAAGCTCCACTTTGAACCGTCTCAGATTTGGCTGAAAAATAATCTTAAAAATGTCTAAAATGACCAAATGAAAGAATCTAAAGTTTTCTCTCAGTCCCTTCAGTCGTTCCTGAGTTTTGACCCGTTGAAGTTTTGGGGCCATGTTCACTTTTTCTGAAGCCTTAATTTATAAACATGTTTGAGACCAGAACTTCATCAAAATAGAGCGAGGAAGATGAACATTTGTTTTATTGTAGATTTTTGGTCATAGATTCTAAATCTGTTGTCAAATATTGTGTGTTTTTATTGAGGTTGTGGCTGTGGCCCCAAAATCTCACATTTGGTTGCTGCTCAATTTATTTATTTATTTTATTTTATTAAATCTATTTCCTCCAAGCAGATTTTTACAAACGAACTGAACCTGAATATTTGAGAGAACCAACATTTCTGACACAAATCTCACACTGTTCTGAGTTTTCATGTGGACGTGTCGAGTCTCAGTCCAGGTTTGATCTTTTTGGTCTCTTCTTTGGATCCATGTGACACAGTTAGATTTGATCACATTTTGACCAGAGAAACTTTTGCAGATTCTGATTAGTTTAAATAAATAAAAACATCGACTATTAACTTCCTTCATTTCAAACTGGGTCATTTTTGGTGGAGCTCAGGGACTTTTCCACCTGTAGAAAGGTTCAATTCCCTTTAATGTCCTTAAAGACTATTTGCTTGTTCTAAGGGAAAACAGTTGGAGATTATTTGTGGTTCATTGTTTGGAAAGTGTGAGATGTTTCATGGAGGAGGTCGGCTGATGTGGACTGACCCATGAGCTGGAGCTGAGGCTGTGGAGCTCCCTCAGGGTTTTTCTCTCACCTGCTCCACGGACACTCCCAGGAAGTGTTTTATTTACCCAGAGCTATTTGACTGTATAATGTGTTAACATAAGGGGGTCGAAGGGAGGGAAGTCATTTATTAATTGTGTTGTAATTGTATTTATCATTGCACTGACCTAGTTTTTGTTCGTTTAGTTGGAGGTATTGCAGCTGAAAACTGTTTTCTTTAATAGTCTAATCTTCGCTGGACAGTCTCTCTGATTCTTTATGAACTTTTTAAAGTATTCTTTGACTTCTTTGTCGTTGATGCACAGAGCTCCTCCGGGCCGTTCGTACTGTGATGGACTTCTATTGGAATCTGCGATGCAGGTCCAGTGGACGTTATTTCAGTGGTTATGGCCCATTTGGAGTGATCTTTTGTCCTGTTCCAGTCTCCTATGTCTGTGCGGACCCCTTCTATGTTAAACACCTTATAGGGTTCACCACAGAAGCTCTTGTCTCTACCTTTCTGACAGCCCCAGGTCTGAGCCTTCATGTCACTTTTCAAATGTTCAGCAAGCTGCACGTACAGGTCTCCAACTGAATAAAACACAGAAACACTCTTTAATATCATGCAGCTTTCACCAATGGCTCTTCTCATTTTCTTACCTTTAGCTGTTTTGCCAGTGTTTTTTGCCAGGGTCTTTAGCTCCTCTCCACCTTTGGTCTTTAGATCTTGTGGTTTCCCGCGGTAAGAGACATCCTCTTTTTTTTCGATTGCATCCTTTAGCTCTTCGTGGAAGTCACCAGGAAAGTGATGATCATCAAAAACATAAGCTCTGATGTTCTGTAGGTGTTTCACTGAAGCAGAGTAACAGAAGCAGAAGTGTGATGTTTATAATAATAAATAATAAAACCTTTTATTTGCCAGACACTTTCTAGACACTCAGGATCCTCTTACAATAATAAAATACAAAAACATTCAATTCATCCATCCATGTTCTTCGTCTTATCCGGGGTCGGGTCGCGGGGGCAGCAGCTCCCAGACGGGAAGTGGAAAAGGGGACGACTTTTTACGGTCAAGAACCACGACCCTCAAACTGCCCCAGAGCTGCAGGTCCAACAGGACAACATCATCAAACAGCAGAGATGATCCTGTGGTCCCCAAACCGAACCCTCTGACCCCTGACTGCACCGAGAAACTCTGTCCATAAAAACAATGAACAGAACCGTGACAGGTGCGGCCCTGGCGGAGTCCAACATGCACCAAGAACAGGTCTGATTTACAGCAGAGAACAACAGCTCCTCCTCCGGTCACACAAGGACCAGACCCCAGACTCCCAGAGCGCCCCCCACAGGACACACGAGGGACACGGCTGAACGCTTCTCCAGATCCACAAAACACATGTGGACTGTACAAACTCCCATGAACCTCGAGCTCCTGATGGAGACTGTAGATCTGGTCCAGTGTCCACGACCGGGACTAAAACCACACTGCTCCTCCTGGATCTGAGGTTCGACTATCATAGTTTGACCAAACGTCCGTTTTTCCCCGGACATGTCCATATTTTGCGTCATGTCTGGGGCGTCCGGATTATATTTTTTTTAAACTGATGCAAAAGTCCGGGTTTTCAGTACTGTTCATTGGGACATTAAACTGAGCGTCTCTCGTATCCACAGCGGTGGATCACTTTACATATTTAGGCATAGAAATCAGACGCAAATTGAATCCTGTGGTCAGGATGAACTCTGAATCTTTGATGAATGATACAACAGAGTCTGTTGATTGGTGGATATTATTACCTTTGTCCTTAATTGGAAGAATTAATGTTATTAAAATGAATATGCTCCCCAAAATGTTATATTTGTTTCAGAATGTGCCATTGCCCCCGTCCAATGATTTTTTTTTTGCAAAGATAAAAAAAACAATTTATTGCATTTATTTGGAAAAATGGTAAAGCTCGAATTCGGTTGTTTCCTTAATGCATTTGCCATAAAACCAGGGAGGTTTAAAGTGTCCAATATAATTTGGAAATATCACAATTAAGATCAATCAAATTTTATTTTGAAACTAATAATGCCCCCAGTGGAAAGAAATGGAATCAGGTGGTCTGGATCTACCATTACCACATTATCTTTACTCTGATAAGATTTCCAACCTGATAAAAAAAACTACAAATCCAATTGTTAAACATATGATAAAAATCAGGTTTATGGTTCGTAATTATGTTAAGGAGACGAGTAACTTGTCTTTGTGCATCTCAGTTTGGGGAAACCAGCGCTTCATCCCTGAGGGCAGATTTGGTCTTTCAAGTTTGGGCGTCAAAGGGATTAAAGTCAGTACAGGATTTATTTATGCCAAACTCAGAATCATGAATGTCTTTTGAGGATATGATATGCAAGTTCAAAATGGATAGAAAATACTTTTTTAAATTCTTTCAACTAAGGAGTTTTATTAGAACCAATCAAGGTAATCAATTAACTAGACCGAAAAAAACGTCATTGGAAACAATCATCTGTAAAACTAGTCAGAGTAAAGCTCCATATCAGAGCTGTTCGACCTTTTACTGTCTCATTCAAGTGAAAACTCTGACTCTAAACTCAGGGCATGAGGATCTCAAATCAAATTAGTCAAAGAGGATTGGGAATCAGCCTGTAGCAAAGCTCACAAACAGTTCATTAATACTCGATTTAAGCTTCTGCGATATAAGTGGCTCATGAGAACATCTGTAACACCAGTCAAACTGAACCTTTCTAACCGTAACATAACAGATATTTGGAGCAAGTGGCTGATGCTGAAGGAACTCTTCTCCACTGCCTGTGGGAATGTCCTGAAACAGGACTGTTCTGGGAGGAGGTCAGAAAAGTGGTGGAGATGATTGTTTCTAAGAAGATTCCAACAAATCCTGTTATGTTTATTTTAGGTTTATATCCCAAAAAGCACAAGTTTACGAAGAGTGAACAGATTATGATTAATATGTGTTTTCTACAAGCAAAAAGAACAGTTCCAATGTTTTGGAAAAAAAACTTGTATTTCCAGGTTTGTGCACTGGGTAAAACAGACGCTCAGAGTTTTTCACATGGATTAGGAAAGGAAAGTTGAAACAGTTTGACGAGTTGTGGGCTCCTCTTAAAAGTTTTGTAGGGAATCTTAATTTGACGGACGGTGCTGAAGATGATTGATACTTTTCTGTAAACCTTTTGTTTTTGATTTATTTCTATTATATTTTTTCATGTATGTATATATGTGTACATCTTATATTTTGTGGTGTGTATATGTGTATATATGTTTTTATTTATTGATATTTGGGTTGGGGAAAAAAATGTATGGATGCTATAAACTTAATTTTCTAACTGTTCGGTTGATCTGTAATTGTTTTTTTTAGTTTTTTTTGCTTGTTTGTTTGTTTGATTGTTTATTTATTTTTGTTTGTTTTTCTATTCATGACTGAGAGTTTGTGTGGTTGTGCTTTATAATGTACAAAACTAAATAAAAACATTGTTTAAAAAATAAAAACAAAAAAAACAGTGACTTGTACAAGAAATTCTCAGTTTTCCGTCCCGGTCGGGACAAGTGTGAGTCCATGTGCACAGGCTGAGGTGAGAGGACAGTGTCCCTCGTTCATCGTGGGAGTTATGTTCTAAAAATAACCTGCGACAGGTGAAATCCACCAAGTATCAACTTTATATTTTACAATTATTCTGTCTGTTTTAAGTCTGTAAAACCTCACCACAAACTTTAAACACTTTTCTCACACAGGACACTTACAACACTTTTTACTTCCTTCTTCAAACTTGTTGCTGCTGTCGTCCTTTTGTTATTTTCCTCCTTCTTTATGGAACAAACTGAAGATTAATTTATTCCATAATGGAGCCGACAGCACAGAGTCCTGCACCAGGCCATTTTTGGAGACCCCCAGGACAGGACCGCACCTGCCCGTTAACCCGAGATTATATCAAATTTTTGCCCTGCCTACACCACAGACTGAACCAAGACTAAACCAGACTAAACCAGGGAGTGAACCAGAACCAGGACTGAACCAGGACTGAACCAGGACTGAACCAGGACTGAAACAGGACTCACTGTTGGGACAGGCTGGAAAGTGACCACAGGAGAAAGACCGGCTCAGCTCTGTACCTCACAGAGGCAGTTGCCTGATGGGCTTTGCAGACAAACTGCTCGGCGTTTTCTCTCTTAAATCCAAGATTAGTCCTGGTTTAGATGTGGTTTAATCGTTTAACCCGTGTGTAAAAAAACAAAACAAAACAAAAAAACATGCAAAATTGACACACACAAAAACAAAAAAGAAAAGAAAAGAAAAAGAAAAAAAATTCCACATATGGTGAGACCGCAAAAGGTGAGCCTCGATATATCGAAGGACGACTGTAGCTCAATGTGGAGGCCCCACCTCCCACCCCCGGTCAGGTGTCCAGGTTTTCACAAATGGAAATACGGTCACTCTAGACTATCACCTGATTCTTGTCTCCAGTCTCCTGGCATAGACCTTACAGGGTATTCACTTCAATTTACAGTAAAACAACATAAACTCTTTCTTACCTACAGTATCGAGATCATTATAGCCCAGAGTCACACACATGAAGGTCTGGCCTTTTTTATAAATATTGTCTTTCCAGAAATGGTTCTTGTTCCTCTCAGACGTCGGAAACTTAGGAGTGTTGTGAGTGAGCCACAGAGCGGATTTAGTGCTGCTGTCCCCCATCACCACACCTGTACAGAGACAGAAACATCACCTGTACAGAGACAGAAACATCACCTGTACAGACAGAAACATCACCTGTACAGACAGAAACATCACCTGTACAGACAGAAACATCACCTGTACAGAGACAGAAACATCACCTGTACAGACAGAAACATCACCTGTACAGACAGAAACATCACCTGTACAGACAGAAACATCACCTGTACAGAGACAGAAACATCACCTGTACAGACAGAAACATCACCTGTACAGAGACAGAAACATCACCTGTACAGAGACAGAAACATCACCTGTACAGACAGAAACATCACCTGTACAGACAGAAACATCACCTGTACAGACAGAAACATCACCTGTACAGAGACAGAAACATCACCTGTACAGACAGAAACATCACCTGTACAGACAGAAACATCACCTGTACAGAGACAGAAACATCACCTGTACAGAGACAGAAACATCACCTGTACAGAGACAGAAACATCACCTGTACAGAGACAGAAACATCACCTGTACAGAGACAGAAACATCACCTGTACAGAGACAGAAACATCACCTGTACAGACACACCTGTACAGACAGAAAACACCTGTACAGACAGAAACATCACCTGTACAGACAGAAACATCACCTGTACAGAGACAGAAACATCACCTGTACAGAGACAGAAACATCACCTGTACAGACAGAAACATCACCTGTACAGAGACAGAAACATCACCTGTACAGACAGAAACATCACCTGTACAGACAGAAACATCACCTGTACAGAGACAGAAACATCACCTGTACAGACAGAAACATCACCTGTACAGACAGGGACATGATGTCACACATGTACGTCTCTGACCTTTGCTGTGTCCATACTCTGGTCCACTGTTGGATCCTGGAGGTTGGTCGTTGTAGCTCAGGAAGCCAAAGGATTTCGTCCTGAAACAGAAGCTGCTGTGATGAGGACGTCACTGTCACTGTTTGTGTTTCTATTCTATTTTCTCTTCACAGTTTTTGTGCTTCAACACTGATCAAAAATGACACTGTTACAGCTCACAGAGGTCAGTGAAAAGGAGAAGGGTCTTGCCTAAGGACACAACAGCAGTAGTAGTCTGATAAACCAAACTGTACCATGTCCCGCACTGATTTGAGCATGGGGCTGAGAGTGTTCCTCAGGATTTCTGTGATGGGTTTGGCAGTTCTCTTCACATTCTTGCTGATATAAACATACTCGTCGCCCTCCAGCGGTTTGAGTTTGAGTTCGAGTTTGAGTTTGGATGTGTCTTTGTTGTCCTTTGGTGCTTTATACAGAATGTACCTGCAGAGACACAGGACGTAACAGAACAAAGACACAGCCAGCGACGACTCTGGGCTAAAACCAAACATATTCACTTTCTCACCAATCCACATTTGTCGTTTTCATCTTTGCAGCTCACGTCAGTTCCTGCAGCCTCAGAGCTCCAGAGCATCACCAAACTCACCACCAACCACTTCATGACTCCTGCAAGAAACAGCAGCTGTGTCATAAGAGCAGGACACGTGAGACACTCCAGCCTCGTGTCCACTGCTTCTGTTTGGAGCAGATTGGAAGTGTCTCCAGTCTCTAAAGTGAACAGTATTTCCAGTGCATAAAGCACATAACAAGAGCCAAGTCCATCACGTGTGGTTAACACAGAGGGTAAAACGTGACGTCGAGACGCAGGGAAGTGAAATAAATGCAGAAAACAACACATGATAAAGCAGAGGTAGTTTAGAGTTTACATGAGCTACTCACTGGACAGGAGGAATTCAAATACACTTTTAATTTGATTTATTAAAGAAACATGAGTTATGTTTGGAAGACGTCAGTGTCTCACGGAGCAGAGTCCTGCCCCTCCACCCCAGTGTCCCTCACACACAAAAACTGAAATACACTTTTTGTACGAAACATCACCAGTGCAACTTTTTTCAACTGGTCAGAGTCAGAGAAAAAAAATGTGATTCTGACATTAGTGGGCTGATCGTAAACTTTATATGACAAAATCTAACACCTAAGAGGTTCATCATTTTGGTAACTTCATGTCAAAGTGACATTTTGAAGAGAACTCTTCATGAAAAAGTTATTTAAAAAAAATTAAATAAACGTTTAACAATTTTACAGAAGTTTAAAAATCAAAACACAGAATTTGTACAAAACATTTTTTTTCAAATTGACTTTACTCAAAAACAAAACATGGCCCAAAGTCCGTCTTCACACTGGTCATAGAGCAAAAAAACAAAAAAAGTCTAAGAATGGAATGATCACAGTTTGATCAAATTGGCAGGAGGTGTCGTGGGACGATTTTTATGGCAACTGAAAAACAGAATGTGTATGAAACACTGGAGTGTTTCAACAAAGAACAGGGGTTAAAACTGTTACAAAACTTTCAGCACTGATTTAAACTGGACCAGTTTGCAGACGCAGGTTAGTGAAAAGTGACGGAAAATCTAAAGACAACAGCAGAAAAGTCCAGATAAACTATTGAGGTTATGATCTGCACGATGCTTTGGACGGAAACAGAGAAGTAAAGGAAACTGAGTGGAGTTTAACTGTTCTTCAGTCAGAAGAGACAGTGTTACGTGTTTAGGCTTCAGTCACTTTATTTGGACCTGGAGGTACATTTATTTTGCAGATTTGAGGCTGGTCCCACATTTCCCATTTCATTTGTCCACAATAAACTCAACACACACATAAAAAACACAATTACAGATAAAGTGTTACAGAGCTCCAGAGCTGAACGGTTTTGTTCCATAAATCATTCATTCATTCATCACACTTGGCTAAAAATCACAATAAATCTTAAATATATTTAAAAAACATGTTTTTCCAAGACAGGTACTAAAATCAATAGATAAATAAATTATAATGTATTCATAAGTGCAACAGCAGCTGGAACGAAGCTCCTTTTAAAGTGATTCGTTCTAGATCTTGGGAGTAAAAGTCTGTGACCGGATGGACGCAGCTGAAACTGTGAGTGTAGAAGACGCTGCTCGTCTTTGAGAACAAAGGTCCACAAACTTTTTTGAGCCACAAACTGGACAATATTTTCACAGAGCGACCTTTAAAGTGTGGAGGATAAATACGACAAAATAAAATGACACGACCAACACAAAAACTGTGATATTTTGTAAATATAATAATAAATGTTTCCAAAGACGTCTGTTTTTGGCTCATTTTGCAGCTTGTGGGTTTAATATTAGTGTAAATGAGAGAGTCACAGACGGATGGAACAGAGAGAATTTGGTCATTTTTCTAAATAAAACATTGTTTCATTTTTCATTTTCTAAATAAAACATTGTTCAGATCAGATCAGATATAAATAAAATGGAAATAATGTAAGTTCTTTATTCTTTCTGTGTGGTCCGGTACCAAACCACCCCCGGCCCGGGAGTTGTGGACCAGTGTAACTGTTGAGTCCAGAGAGTCCAGACGACTCTGACGATGGACAATCACCTCACCTCCATTTAACCAACTGATTCAGGTCAACTCTATTGTTTTAGTTTTTTAGAGATGGTCCCAAACCATGAGACCAGTGAAAACATCCAAACTGATTCAACAAACGTTTTGTAGAACAGCGTCATCATGGTTCTGTCTACACGGTAAAAATACAACTTCCTCAAAAACGAAGCGCTGGTGCCTCTTTTAAACACAGCAGCACAATTATCGTCAAAGCTCAATTTAGAATCAGTGATTATTCCAAGACACTGACAGGAGTCCACACACTGACTGCTCCTTTACATCTGTGTCGTCATTCTGAGGAGCACCTTTCTGAAAGTGAAAAATCATGTCCTTCGTTTTGGACACAGTGAGATGCAGATGTGACGCTTCACACCAGTTTGTCTGTAGGTGAAAGTTTCCTACAGAGTCAGACCTTTTGAAAGAGCGACTTAAGGTACTTTTGCTGCCGCTGCTCTTCTCCTAAACCCGCCTGATTATTAACACTTGATCGATGATGATGAGTGTAAAATAGAACGGACAGAAGTACTTACCAAATGCAGACACAGTGTTCGATTCAAAAGCAGACGTGGTGTTTACTGAAGACCTGAAGAACTCTCCCTCTGACCTGTCTGTGTGTAACTCGGTCTTTTATCCTGCTCCAAACTTTACCGTTTTCTTGATAACATTGTGCTGGTCAGTCGTTATTCAACTGCTGTAAAAGTAATAGTACTTATCATATTTTGATTACATGTGTCAGTCAAATAAAGCCTGAACATGACTCCTTACAAGGCCAACGCTTCACTGCAGAGACTCTGATAGTCAAAAGAGCCGATACCCACAGACTAAAACTCTATTCACATTAAAGTCTGTGTCGATTAATTTCTGTGAACACTTCAATGTGTTCAAATGTTTTGATGTCATGTTAATTTTGGGACATGTTCTGTTCATGTTTGAACCTGAAGACACTGATATGAGACAGGGGGAGTGTCTGAACTCTTTAACATATGACTATCTGTGGTTACATTGTCTAGGTCAACATTTCTGTGAATTTCCTGTAAATACCAGTTACAGTTTGTCAATATTGTGACGAATGGTCAAAGCTTGTCACTAGGAGGAGGTGACGTGGAGAGATGCTGTGTGAATCAACTTGAATCAAGATCTGTACCTGTGTGAGCCAAATAAAGAGACATGTTTCTGAACACCTTTAATCCTTCTGGACTCTCTTTTAAGGCTCTTTTCAGGCTCCTCCAGAAGAAGCTGACTGACAAGCCATACATTTAATCATCTTAATAAAAGATATTCACATGACATTTACAGATCAATACTCAAACGAGTCATAATCATAATCCTGTAAAATCCATCTAACTAACAAACACAAACTGTAAACAAGTGTGTGTTAGTTCCAGAGTAGTTTCAGTGTAGTTAGCTCCTCCTGCAGGTATAAGGAAGTGTCACCAGCGTCTGACAGAACTGAAGAAGCAGCTTGGACGAGCCGAGAGAAACGTCTTCAACCAAACTCACTTTTGTCCAGTCGACAAACTGATTTTTCTTCTCTCCATGTTCCTCCAAACTGTTTTTGTGGATCTGTGAAAAAACCTTTGACACCGTTAAGTCGTGTTCAGGTTTATATACAGATATTTGTGTGTTTTAATTATGATCATGTGAATATTTAACTGTGTATCTGAACTTGTATTTGAATGAAATGACTTTTACATGAATGTGTGAGATTTTAGGCCTTATTACCTTTATGTGTCGGGGAAGTGCTGATGAAAACCTGCCTTTTGTCTAATTCAGGAACATTTACATTATTTAAACTGTTTATTAATGTGAAAACTGAATCAATCAATAAATAAATACACAATAGTGACAATATTCACAGCATGAACAGTTCACATGATCTTCTTAATAATAATAATAATAATAATAATAATAATAATGAGAGGTTGCTGGTTGTGTAACGTACGTACACTTACATATTCACACGTTTGTCAAAATACTCCACATGCATCAAACATAACAGAATCCAGACAGTCCAAAGAGAAAAAGAGAAAAATATACACATACAGTACTACAAATACATCCTGTGTCAAGGGAAAAATGTCCAGTTTCCCTCTAAGTTTAAATAAAATCTTTCTACTTGGACATGATTGGACAGAGACACCAACAGATTTACGTATTTGGGAAGAAAACACACACTTCAGCTGTGTGTAACTCGGTCTTTTATCCTGCTCCAAACTTTACCGTTTTCCTGATAACATTGTGCTGGTCAGTCGTTATTCAGCTGCTGCCCACAGACTGGAGATAAACACAAATGTAGTAAAAGTAATAGTACTTATCATATTTTTATGACATGTGTCAGTCAAATAAAGCCTGAACATGACTCCTTACAAGGCCAACGCTTCACTGCAGAGACTCTGATAGTCAAAAGAGCCGATACCCAATACTCACATTACAATACTCACATTACAATACTCACACTACAATACTCACACTACAATACTCACAGTACAATACTCACATTACAATACTCACACTAGACTCTCATGTGAACACGAGTAACACTGAGTCTTTCCTGAACACTTCTGAATGTTCTGGATCTGTGTCAGATTGTCCATTGCCAATGTTCAGTTTTTTCTGTTTCTGAAGTAAAGTCCGACTTCTCTCAGGACGAGGTCATTCTGACTCCTGCATGAGTGAG